GAGTTCATTCGAATCAAAACTCATTCACCAAGGCTACTGCCAGAGGAGATTGTTTAATACCATATAGAAAAGTTCCATTGTTTTTTTCGCCTTTTCCTATCAAGCATCATGTGCCTGTTATGTCATACCCACAGAACTAAGGAACATATAAAGTCCCTCCCCAGATCTATAAAACTATGGTTACATTCAAGTGGTGAGGCTTTGTTCTTTTCCTACTAATTTTATTAATTGTGTGTGTCTTATTTTAGCGTGCTTTTGCTTAACACATGTGTCTTTATATTAATAAACACAGTCCATGCTATGAATTTATATTTCTTTTAAGAACAATCACAGTTTACTTGGAGCCAGCATTGAGCAGAACTGCAGCTGTAAATATCTTCACATCAGTCTCAGTACTAAGCTGTGGTCTCCATCATTTCTGCATGTCTATCATCTTCTTATCACAGTGAGACATGGGTCATGACTCATTGAACATCTCATCAATCTCAGACAGACACTAAAATTTTGATGCACCAGATTTACACTCATGCAATACGCTTGTCCATAAACCTAAAAAAGTTGATGAAAAGATAAAACATATATATATTGTGCAATAAAATGTTGCAGACATTTTTTAATACATTCTCTGTAGTATATATATACAAAGTATATAGTGGTGTGTGAATGCATTCTGGGCAGGTTTCATGGCTGACAGTGACATTGGAATGACTCACACACTCGGAAGGTTGGATGTCAGAAAGTCAAGTCGAGTTATCACAGTAATGGAACTGTGCTCAAGAATGCAGCAGAGATTTGTCTGAGTGGAAGTGCCAAAGGGAAGTGGCCGAGGACAAACAAATGACTAATGACATGTAGCTTTATTTGTCTGTGCTATCGCTTGTCCGTCCCAGTTGCTCTTTGACCTTGCTGCTCCAGACAGAATCACAGAGGGGGTGAAATATATTAACTACGTTTTCCTTCTTTTTCAACGTCATTCAGTGTCCACAGCAACGACCTCACTGACCTTTATACTACTTACTATTGGTCGCATATAATTATTTGATTAAAGCTTGGAGCATTTACAACCACTTTACACACACTGTGCGTCATTCTGTATGAATGTGTCAGGTGAATGCCAAAATTATAAATGCAAAAGAGAAAAGTCCAGGCTTGTAAGGCTGACCAGCATGGCTTAGAGCAGGTGGTGCCTTTGTGTGTGTGTGTGCGTATGTGTGTGTGTGTGTGTGTGTGGGTGGGTTGGGCATGAGTTGTCAGAGGGCCTCTCCATTTAACAACATCTGTTTGAGTAAATATCCCATTTAGAACTTTATATAAAATCCCACATATGTTGTGTTTCTGACTCATCTTCAGTTTACAGTAAACACTGTCTGTTGATTCATTCATTGGACCAGCAGCATGCGTCTTATTCTCCCTCATGCAGGGATCACAATGATAAATATGCATGAGCGAGAGTGTACCTGTGTGTGTGTGTATGTGTGTGTGTGTGTGTGTGTGTGTGTGCAGGACCATGCAGGGCTCAGTTGGACATCAAATAATAGGCCATCATCAATCTCTGTCACACTCTCCAGGGACTAGGGAGGGTGTGTGTGTGCGTGCACACACCAGAGGGAGGGGGAGAAAATGGAGGCCAGGCCAACTGTGTGTGTGTGTGTGTGTGTGTCTACTCAAGAGATGAAGTTAACGTGGCAGAGACAAAGGAAGGCCATCATCTTTAGAACAACGTGCGAGGGCTGACTTTAAGCGTATGTTCGTATGGTCATGATACGATTCCTCAGTCAGACTCACCGTAACAAAATCTTTATTTCTGGCAAAAATCACACGAGTGTCACCTTCATCCCTGTCTTCCTCCAGCACTAAATAGTTTGGTTCCCCTTCACCGAAATATACTTTCCTGTTCTATTTAAAGCCAGGCTATGTGAGACATGTTTAGAGAAGTCACACATGTTTTAACCTTTGACTACACTGGATTTTTTCGGAGGCCAGAATACAGTCAATCTCAGAGAAAATTCAAAATATAAAAATAACATGAAATAATAGGTGGTTTAAAAGAGTAATTGGGAATACAGGATAATCACTTTTATTTATAAGGTGGTTATTAAAAAATAATCGAACTTGATATTTGTTAAAACATTTCTTATTGTGAATAAAATGAGTAAAGCCTGTAAATGTACAGCGTGTCATTACAGTGAATGGCAACAGTGTTTGTTTACAGCAGTGGTAGAGTTGCTCCAGTGGGGCGGGGTGTGGCAGGTCCCTCCGCCAATCAGGGCCGCTCCTCCCCCCCACCAAGCGCTGGGGAGGCAGGACCTACGGTGCTGTCAGCCAATCGGCGGCTACCTTCCTGAGCACAGGGAGAAGTTAGCAGTGGACTGCCAGTCTGGTCCGTAGCCACGATGGATGCAACACCGTGCCTCCTGCTCGTCCTCCTGCTCGGGACAAGGATAGAAGAAAACAGCGGTAAGTGGCTTTTCATGGACACTGTTGAGTCGGGTTTTTTCCCCGGTGGCGGTTTCCCCCGAAGTTTCCCTCCCGGCTCCAGCGGGCTCCGTCAGAAAAGCTCTTTGTTCAAGAGGCATGAAGAAGCGGAGTGTGTCTAACTAAGATGGCGCAGGGTCGGCGGCCAGCCTGCTGCTGCCTGCCTGAGGAATGTTTATTGTCTGGGAGGGGGGGAAATGTAGCAGTGGATCTAAAAGTCTGGATGGAGAGGAGATGCCCACGGCCGCCGTCCGGGACCGGGGCGGGTGTTTCCTCGGTTTATTTTGGACTGAGCCTCAACAAAGAGCCCGCGGAGTGTTGTCCGGCGGACGGAGCAGTCAGTTTGACAAACTCAAAGTTGGCAGCATCCCTGAGTGGATGTTTGCGGGTTTGAGTCGGACACTGGTTGTTCATTTACCTGATGGCTGTCTCATCCCAAGGTTTTTTTTCCTCTCTTCCTGCTGAGCACACAGCACAAGTCCACGGTGCCCGTGGGAAGGCTGTGTCTACTTCCAGATCCCCGTTACTTCTCTGTGTGACTGTTGACACCTCACTGAACTGTCCCCGTGTCAAGTCTGCGCTCTTTAGGGCTCAGCTAACGATTTAGCTAGTTTTGTTTTTGTTGAGTTAAAGACGGAAGCTGCATTTCTGAGTTTTTCTCCCAGGTATTTTTTTTTGTCTACTCCGTTGGCATGGTTGTCTCTACCCTGTCGGTCCTCTTGTGTGTTCAGTTACAAACAGTTCCGAGTGTTAAATGCTAGTTTTACTTTCTGTGTGACTGGTCCACATCCACTCTGCTCCACGGCTGTTAGCCTGTTAGCCTTTAGCCTCGGCTCACAGCAGCGTTTGCACAGACTTGGTTTTTTTCCGTGTTTTAGTATTCGAGTGTCACAGTTTCTCCTCGCGCAGATCGTGTCCTCATGTACTCCACATGTATGCAGCGCACTGTGAAAACAAGGGTCGGTGTCTCCCATACTTGACGGCAGAACGAACTCGTGTACACCGGTGCCCGTTTAGAAAACGCCGATTTAATGACGCTTTGCTCTGCTGAAGTCTTTGACCCCTCCTGGGAGCCTTCTGATGCATTTCTAATCGGCACGCCGTTCTTCTGAACCCACTTTGAACATCGCTCCGCAGTGATAGTTGGAGTTCACCTCATGTGATCGCAGTGGAAGCAGACTGCGGCTGAAATGTTGAAGTGAAAACCTGCTGCTCTGTGCTGCTTGGCATCTTTTTTTTTTCTTTTCTTTACGCCAGAGATGGAAGTCTCTTAAACGCACTCGGGAGAATCAGTGTAATGATTTGGGAATCGGGCTCAAACGTTTGTCGCTGCTCATTAGATAATGGCTCTGGGCCACCAGCAGGCATCGATGCTTCCGTTCATGCATTGTTTTTATTGCCGCAAACCTGGCCATCTCCTTTTGTTTGCACAAGCCAGCGTGCGACTGCAAAAGATGAGGGCTGTTCTCATATGTGCAAATAGCAGATAGAGAGTGTGTGTGTGTGTGTTTTCCTATCGCAGAGTTTCCTTTGTGTCACATTCCTTTGTGTGGACAGAGGGAGAGAGAGAGAGAGAGAGTCAGCCTCATATTGAATGGAGGAGCATGCTTCTTGGGCAGCGTGCATTAATCTCATCGGAACCTCCTCGTGCCAAAACGCATGGTCGTGTTCGCATGTGCCCCACCGCTGCTTCAGATGCAGGGTGGTTATCAAATTGATATGTTGGCTCAGGGACACACAAGGCGAGAGAGAATGCCGCTTTCCTTGTCCAGCAATAGGATTGTCATGGCACGAGTCCACGCTCAGAGCTGCGTCATTTACATCAGAATAGAATCCAATAATGTAGATGCAGATAATCTGATTCAAAGACTAGAACAAATATTAGTGTGTCAACGTTCATTTCACCAGTAATGTAAATGACCTGACTATCCAGTGTCTACAACATGTATGTGTGTATGTATATATGATGTCTTCACAAAGAAATCAATATCAGATTGCCAGAGAACACCTTTAATGACACCTTTCACATTTAGATGCTGTAGGGTGTTCGGCACCACACCCCTGCTGCTCACGCACACTTGTCTTATGTACAACTGTGTAGCGCACACACACAACAGCATCCACACACACCCGAGCCCCGGCAGCAGTCTAAATTAGGTGGTGTCACTACTACTCTCCTCATCCTACCAGCCTCAGTCATCCTCCCGCTTAATCAGCTCTGTGCTCACGCTCTGTCACTTGTTTCTCCCTCTCCTTTCCTTCAGCCCTCCCACCCTCCACTTCCATTTGTCTGCTCTGAGTTGTGTGTTTCTTCCATTGCCCCCTTTAGGCATAGTAAGTAAACTGGCCACGTTTAGCTGGAGTGGCTGGTATAATCAAGTGCTGTGTCAGCACTCTGAGACAAATGCAATCGGCTGCCAAGCAAGACTCCAAATCAATCCTGACGGTCCCTGAACACAAAGGATGTGGGGAATTAGTTTAGCATGGTATCTCAGTTTTTGCTCCAGGGTTACTACTAGCAATGAATCATCAGGTGATTAAGAGATCTGTATCCTGCAGTGTCTGTGTCCCACTTTCATACAACATATTGAAAAGCATACGTGATGTTCCGATGAGGACCGTAAAGGGATAGTTCACCCGAAAAAGCGGCATTGCGGTGAGCAGATAACGAGTTCATTTTCATTTTTCGGTGAATTATCCCTTTTAAAGTAGTGTGGCAGTTTGAATGCAAGAAATCAACAGGAAACTACAGAGGACAGATAGTCGGGCACGCTCCATGATTGGAATATTCCCAAAATAAACTCATGACTTTACATGGATGGACCAGTGACTTTTGTGTCTAACTGGTCTGCGGACCACTGTTATAGAGGGGTTCATACCATATAGTGCTGGAGCCAGCTGCATTCCAAAACAAAACATTATCTGGACATTGTCTGTCTGTATTTTGAACGCATATCTTGCGAACTGTTCATCATACCAAATTCACATTTGTTGTGTGTATAGTAAATTGCTTGAGGAAGTTGGACGTGCAATGCACATGCTCTTGGTCATGGCAACATTCATAGAATCACTTCCTCTTTATAAAACTGTATCTTCAATGTAAAAGGACAATGTTGGTTTGTTGCTGCAATGCTTTATATTGAGCTGAATAACAGAGCTCCTATTTTTCTAAAGTTGTGAACTTGGTTCCATTGTTTAACTGACCTCTGAAATAGCTGACGTGCATGGAAAAACTGCTGCTTCTGTCGGTTTTAGCGTCTCTACACAACCAAAGATCTGATGGTAAATGAAACGGATCATCAGACTGAAAGGAAGATGATGCCTAAATTTGATAATGAAGTGAATTGTATTGCCACTCCTAGCTTTCTGTGGTAGGGCCAGCGAAGGTTGATTATTGGCTTAAATGCACAGTGAGCTCACCGCCAGCATGCCCTCATATGCCCCTGAGTGACAGTTACTCAGGGAGAGCAGGAGTCATGCTGAGAACAGCATTTAATAATGTGGGCACTTGTACATCTAAAGCATAGACAAGTTGGTAAAACATTTATTTATTACACGCCTGGCAAAATTCTTGGTCCAGTTGATGGCAGTTCTGACTTTGACACAAGGGTCAATGTGTTTGTATGTGAGGTAGACAGCATTGGGGCATTAAGTGCTGCACACTGCTCTCGTATGAAGAAATGGCACAAAGCAACTGTTCATGGTATTATAAAGTGTCACAAATATTATGTTGGGTTTGTGTTGGTGTTTCAATCAGCCTATTGGTTCCACTATAAAGAGGGAGTTTTTTTCAATCCACAGTTGCAAAAGCACTTGTAAACTGACTTAGTGGAGCTGTGCATGGCTGCCTGGGTATCTGCCCTGGACTTGGTGGCACTGTGGCCGGTGCATCCTCTACCTCAGGCCCCTGAGTTGTCCGTGGTCCCTGTGTCCGTAGGCAGGTCGGTTTGTAATTTGCTTTTCTCAATAAAAACATGTTCTTAAAATGGAAATAATGCATTTCATTTTTTTCAGTGTCTGCATAGGCTACTTACTGTATGGGGTCTATGTTAGCAGTGAACCAAAATTAAAAAGACTTTAACACAGCATACTTTGTTGCACTTTAGATGCATTTGTTTGTGTAAGTCAAATCGTCATCGCAACATTTAACAAAGTTATCGCATATCGCATGTTTTCCTGATATCGTGCAGTCCAAGCAGTCGTCCTGTGTGGAAAGTACATTTTCTTGAGAAAGTCCACTTCTTGTGGACAAGCAAATGATCTGTAATAAGGAGCCCTGCTAAAGGAAGACTTGCGAGAGTAACACATATTTTATTAAAAGTGTCCTGTAGGAGTTTACAGCCAGTTTAGAAAAACAACAATAGTCATTAGATATTTCATAACAACAATAGTGGGAGCTCTGCTTCCACCTTTCCACAGGGTTAGATAGATATTCTGTGTTTTTCATCTTGTGTGAGTGTAAATATTCCCTGTACACTGAGTATTTTTTGCGCTAACTTTTATCTCAACCACATTCTAAGCCCCCCTCTCTAGCTGCTGAGGCCTTTTTGTGTGTGTGTGTTGAGTGTGTTGAGTGTTTCAATGAAACGCCTGTGGAGCGTTGTTTTTCTGGGTGCTGTGTGCCGTGCTGTCAGTACTAGCAATGGAGGAATGCCAGGCATGTGGGTGACCCTGGATGCCCGTTGTCCCGGCCCAAGGAACCACAACTAATTTGAAAGGTTGTAGCTGTGCCAGTGGCCATTGTATTCAAATGCACCCCCCCGCTCTCCCTCATGTGGAGGTTAGGGAATCACAAGCTCTACTCCTGATTCTGTGTTTGTGTGAGGAGTTAGGCCCAAGTTATACTCTGGTACATGGACATCTGTGGACACCAGGGTCATGTTTGTATTATACTCTGCTTGGAGGACACATTCCATACACGTGCATTATATCAGCTACAAATTAAATCAAAATGGCGATGCAAGAAGAGCTGCTTTGTCTGC